TTCTCAAAACTTCTCAACAATTATTTTCTTAAACCAAATATCTCTTTCTGACATGCCAATTTAATGCATCCTGTTCTAACCATTTCTTAATTTCTCCCTCATAGATTCAATCCCATCATTTTGTCCCATATTTTTGAAAATTTCATCATGTATGTTCTTCAGATCACCAATTCTTTCTTCAGGTGTTTATAATCTCTTTTTAACTCACCTATTAAGCCATTTCAATACTACTTTTTAGGAAATCTATCAAAGCCTTTTACAAATCAGCTTGGTAATCTTTAATAGTCTTTTATTCCTCACTTTTATTTTCAGTTTCTTAATTACTTCAAAAAATAAAAATCTACTATTTAATATTCTGTACGAGATGATTCCAATATCCCAAATACTGTTATTCAGTTCTGTTATTTGTTGTTTCTACAAAGTTCCACTCAAAATGACTTTTTTCTTTCATTTGTTTTTTTAATTTTTGATTATAATATCATTTTTATGGATTTTTTCCTTGGGAAACCAAAGATCTAAGTTTTGTGTAATGGCAAAAGTCTGTGTGACAGCCAAGCATTATCTCAGTACCAGCACCCAGTTGGCAACGTTTCTTTTCAATGCTTAGTTGCCAGGCATTTCTCTACATGCTGTTGAGTTCTGGAGGACTTTACAGTGATCTTTTCTGATATTTTATCCAGCATTTGCACGTGCTTTGAACTGTCTAGTTTCCTGTTATCGTTTTTTTTATGCAGCCTGGTGCAGAAGGATGAATGAGATTTTTCCAAAATAATTCTTCCCACCTTCTCACTTGTTTTGAATTACCCTCAAAGGGGGGGGAGAAACCCTGTACTCTTGATGGATATTCAAGAAAATGGGTTTCAGATGCTGAAAGCAATGACCAAAGGAAAATTCTCAAAAACTGCTTCGTTAAAGGCATTATCACTGGTGTTAAATATTCAGCACCCAAAACAAAATGAATAAGACAATTTTCATTTAAAGGTAAAATTTCTGGGAAAACATTAATGTTATTTTTGGGGGGATACTGCATATAAAGTTTGATCCTGTTATTTTGCCGCTATAACCTCCCATACAGTTGACATTTGACATTCACGATAGTTGTGTTGCAAGAACTTCTTTAAACACTCAACTTTGATTAAGGCCCAGAAATACAAATATTACAATATTCTAGAAATATAGAGAGAGAACAAAAAAAAATGATGTTGAAATGCTTAAATTGAGCGTTCTTTTTTGCAGAATATTGCATTCTGAATGATACAAAGATTCACAATCACAAACTCGGTCCCTGAGCGGTCTCCAAATTACCATGTCTCAGGAAACTAAAGGTCCCTCAGGAACAGGCAAAGCATGACTGCAGTGACAATGGAATAAAAAAGCGCTAGCTGCTGGGATGATAAACACGCACATCTCAGTGATTTATCAAAATAGAAGTTCCCAATCACATAAACCCAGTGGAGGAAAGGGGTTGCTGGCAGGGGGACTTTGCTCTCCACAGTCATTCAGGCCTGAAGGAGAACAAAAAGCATCACAGGTGTTGTTGCCAGAGTCAGTAAATAACATACAAGAGACTGAATTAAATGTGAATTTCAGATAAACAGTAATTTAATGAATTTCCCATGTGATATTTTTTGTTGACGTATAGTTGATATACAATATTATATTAGTTTCAAGTATGCAACACAGTGACTCAACAGTTATATACATTATTTAATCCCCACTTCCACCAGTGCAGTTACTATATATCAACATAGAAAGATATTACAGAACCATTGACTGTATTCTCCATGCTGTACTCCCATCCCCGTGACCAACTCATATTGTGCTTGAGACATCATGCCTCTTCATCCCCCTCACCTACCTACCCCCGCCCCTTCCCCATGGTCACCACCAGTCACTTCTCCATGTCTGTAGGTCTGTTGCTGTTTTGTGCAGTTTTTGTTTTGTTTCTAGATTCCACATATAAGTGAAATCATATGATATTTGTCTTTCTCCACCTGGATTATTTCACTTAGCATAATACCATCCCTCTAGGTCCATTCATGTTGTCTCAAATGACAGGATTTCTTTCTTTTTCATGGCTGAATAGTATGCCACTGTTTATATGTACCACCTCTTCTTTATCCATTCATCTATTAACGGACACTTTGGTCGTTTACATAACTTGGCTATTGGAAATAATGTGGCAATAAACATAGGTGTTCATATATCATTTCAAATCTGGTATTTTGTTTTCTTCAGGTAAATTCCTAGAAGTGGAGTTACTGGGTTGTATGGTATTTCTAATATTTAATTTTTTGAGGAACTTCCATACTGCTTTCCATAGTGGCTGCAACAATTTACATTCCCAGCAACAGTGTAGGAGGGCTCCCTTTTCTCCACATTCTCGCCAACACTTGTTATTTTTTGTCTTTTGGATAGTGGCCATCATACCTGGTGTACTGTTATATATCTCACTGTTTTTTTGATTTGCATTTTCCATTGACTGTGATTAGAAATGAGGAACATCTTTTCATGTGCCTATTGGCCATCTGTATTTCTTCTTTGGAAAAATGTCTATTCAGGTTCTCTATCCATTTTTTAATTGGGTTTTTTTCTTTTTTCTTTTTGGTGTTGAGTTGTATGAGTTCTTTATACATTTTGGATGTTACCCCTTATCAGATGAATATCATTGATGAATATATTCTCCCATACTGTACGTTACTTTTTGTTTTGTTGATGGTATCCATTGCTGCACAGAAGCTTTTTAGTTTGATGTAGTCCTACTTACTCATTCTTTATTTGTTTACCTTGCCTGTGCAGACATGTCCAGAAAAAATTGCTGATGCTTCTAGTCAAGAGATTTTTTACTGTGTTTTCTTCCAAGAGTTTTATGGTTTCATGTCTAACATTTAGGTCTTTAATCCATTTCAAATTTACTTTCATGTATGGAGTTAGTAATCCATTTTTATTCTCTTGCATGTAGCTGTCCAGTTTTTCCAACACCATTTATTAAAGAAACAGTCTTTTCCCCATTGTATATTCATGGCTCCTTTATCATACATTAATTGACCATATATGCATGGGTTTATATTTGGTCTCTCTATTTCTGTTCAATTGATCTATGGGCCTGTTCTTGTACCAGTACCATACTGTTTTGATTATTGTAGGTTTGTGGTATACCTTGAAGTCAGGGAGCATAATACCCCCAGCTTTGTTCTTCTTTATCAAGATTCTTTTGGCTACTCAGGGTCTTTTGTGGTTCCATATACATATAAATTTTCAGATTTTTTTCACTAGTTCATTGAAAACTGCTAATTGTATTTTGATAGGGATTGCACTCTATCAGTAAATTGCAATTGGTAGGATGGCTCTTTGACAATATTAATTCTTCCCATCCATGAGCATGGATAGATTTCCCTTTATTTGTGTCTTCTTCAATGTTTTTCATCAGTGTCTTACAGTTTTCAGAGTACAGGTATTTTGCCAACTTGATTAGGTTTAGTCCTAGGTATTTTATTCTTTTTGATGCAATTGTAAATAAAACTGTTTTCCTAATTTCTCTTTCTGTTAGTTCATTGTTAGTACATAGGAATGCAACAGATTTCTTTATATTGATTTTGTATCCGGCAACTTTGCTGAATCCATTTGTTAGTTCTAATAGTTACTTGGTGGATTCTTTAGGATTTTCTATATACAATATCATGTCTTCGGCTCCCTTGCAATATTTAGATTATACTTATACTGTAAAAATTATCTGTTATTTGTCTGCAACTCAAATGTAATTGAGTGTTCTATATTCTATCTGGCAACCCTAACACAAGGCTTCCAAAGTTTCCTTGAATGTTAAAATCCATCAAGTGAGGAGGAAAGGAAGTAGAAAGTCATAGGGTTCCAGTTTGAGCTGGGTGGGGAGGAGCTAGTTCAGGTCATCTGCATAAAGAAGAGGTGGTACATATACACAATGGCATACTATGTCATTTGAGACAACATGGATGGACTTAGAGGGATGGTATTATGCTAAATGAAACATCCAGGTGGAGAAAAACAAATACCATCAGCAGAACATAACAGTATCACAACCACACATAGGAAAATTTGTTTGAAGTGTGGTCTAACTCTGCCCAGAAGAAAAAGCAAATGTACTGATGAACTGCAAGTCAATTTCTGCCATCCCAAGGGCCCTTGATAAATGAGCAGTGCTCAGCAATGTGGAATGATGTTTAAGAATAAAGACTCTAGAATAGGCGAGTTTGAGGGCTTACAGTACATGACAGATGATGGATGAAAACACTTCAGCCAAATGCCTAACCAGTTACAGAGGTAACAGGATTCAAAGTAGGAAACAGAGAAGCTTATGACTAAAAATCAGCTATCATTATGTATTAATAAAATAATTACAAGATGATTTGTCCTGCTGCTAGGCTATGACTAAAACAAAAAACAGTGCACTGGAAAATGCAAGACTATCTCTCAGAAATCCATATGTATATGTGTGTGTGTGTGTGTGTGTGTGTGTATACACACATTGCATTGCTAAGAATAATTGTAAGAAAATGTTCAAACATATTTGACCATGAATAAAGCTCCGAAAATTTCTCTAATGCTACTAATTTCAGGAAATTGACTAAGATCCAAATGATAAATGGCTGAGAAACACTACAGGTTGTTGAAAATTATATTTGAATATTGCTTTAAGCAAATATGAATACCTCTTTAATATAATGGAGAAGTGTGCAAATCTATTTTTCTTAGAATCACACATGTTAGCAGTCAGTCTTCTTCTGCAAAATCTTCATTTTGAACATGAATCCATCGTTCACATACCACTTTTGCTGTGGTGAAAACTTATCAGGAAAATAGAAGAAATACATAGAAAGCAATAAACCCCGTTGAGAGCATTTGCCTTGAAAATCTAATTCAAAAAGATGACTGAAATGTAAGAGCCTTTTCCTTCAAGAAGTAACAAAGATTTCCCTTCTTTTACTGGTCCTCCCCTTCGTCCTCTGTGGACTTCAGTAGCCATGAAAGGAAACAGCACTGACATTACGGAATTTTTTCTTCTGGGATTTGCTGCACAACACAAGTTTCTATATGTCCTCTTTGTTATATTTCTAGTCATCTACGTGACCTCCATGGTGGGTAATGTTGGAATGATCCTACTCATCAAGACAGATTCCAGACTTCAGACACCCATGTACTTTTTCCTACAACATCTGGCTTTTGTTGATATGTGTTATACCTCCGCTATCACTCCCAAGATGCTGCAAAACTTCGTAGTAGAAAATAAATCCATATCCTTCGAGGGCTGTGTAATGCAATTATTGGTTTATGTAACATTTGCGACCAGTGACTGTTACCTCCTGGCTGCCATGGCAGTGGACCGATATGTTGCCATCTGTAAGCCACTTCGCTACCCCATAATCATGTCCCGAAGAGTCTGCATCCAATTGGCATGTGGTTCCTATGTCATAGGCTCCATAAATGCTTCTGTGCACACAGGGTTTACATTTTCTCTGTACTTCTGCAAGTCCAACACTATCAACCACTTTTTCTGTGATGGTCCCCCAATTCTTGCCCTCTCGTGCTCCAACACTGACGTCAACATCATGCTACTAATTGTCTTCGTGGGATTTAATTTGATGTTCACTATTTTGGTTGTCATCTTTTCCTACATATATATTCTGGCTGCCATCCTGAAGATGTCTTCTGCTACAGGGAGGAAAAAAGCTTTCTCTACATGCACCTCCCACCTGACAGCCGTCACCATTTTCTATGGAACCCTATCATACATGTACTTAGAGCCTCATTCTGATAGTTCCCAGGAGAATATGAAAGTGGCCTCCGTATTTTATGGTATTGTGATTCCGATGTTAAACCCGCTGATCTACAGTTTGAGAAATAAGGAAGTAAAAGAAGCTCTAAAAGTGATGGGGAAAAATGTTTTAGACTAAACCCAAATTGTTAAACTTCAGCACATCACAACCTCCACTAGAGATGTTTGACCACTAATGTTTCTAAAATTGGGACCATGCGCACACTTTAAATTAATGCTGCCTTTTCAAGAGATAAGTTTTTTAAAGGCTGAACATATTGTAACATCTCATGGGACTAATTTTCCCTTAATTATAGCTTGAATATATTACTACACATGAATGCTAGTTTGAATATAATTACTACACATGAAGGGATATTACTACATGTGAATATCCCTTAAATATATTACTACAAATGAAGAAGCGCTTTATAGAAATTACTTAAAATATTAAGATGTATACTTTACAAAATATTTAGCAGTTTCATGTATTTCAGATATGTTCTTAAAGACTAGAAACCCCAATTTGTGTATAGTCAATATAAAATTTGAAGTTCATTATCTTCCATTCATTTAAAAATTTCCCTAAATTTTCTACAAAGTGTCTTTTCATATATTCTTTTCCAATTATTACATAAGCCTGAAGGTAAAGTAAATGTTCTGCTCTGAAAAGCACCTTATGACTGAGGCTTTACATTCTAATATTCCCATTGATACATTCTCTAGCCCTTGCAATCTGTATTTCTATGTGATGTTATAACTTATTTTTGTCAGTAGTTACTGACTTTATCCTGAATTCATGTCTTTCTTGAATAAGATAAAGAAACTTCAAGAAACATTTTCTATATCTCTCTCCAGAAGGGATAGAAAATCTAGACTGCAGATGGATCTAAAATCCTAAACAATTATCACTAATTTATGAAAAGCATGCCAGTCAGTTTAGCCTTGAAAAAAAGCTTTAAACCAAGAATTCAATGAGAAGTTGAAAGGAGGCCAATATCCTTTCAATCAGGAGAATTAATTGTTGACCTAGATCTTTAGTAGATTGGTTGAGGGTAAGTGATGGAAAGCCTCACATGAATCTGGAGATGCCATACTAGAGACAGAGCAAGTTTACACAAAAATAACACCAGTCTAACAAACTGCCCAGAAAATGTACTGAGTAACAGCACTGAAACAACTGGGCAACATAAAAAGATATATTTTTCTAATACAATATCCTATATGAAATTTAAAAGAGGAAAAACTTCAACTAAAGTCAATATAGGATGACTAGAATCTCCCCAGCAAAGAGTCTGTTTTAATAAAGGGAGACCTTCTACATAAGGAAGGTCTAAGTATCGTCAAAGACCATGACTACGGACAGTTGCTGGATAGTCATTGCAACACAGAGGAAGTCCTGAGACTCTGGAGGGGAAATTGGAGACTACGTACAGCACGGGAGCTATTGTTCAAATAATATAGCCCATACCTGAAATTTGCTAAGAGGATACATTTCAAGCATTGTCACTGATAAAACAGAAAAAGAAAGAAAATGATAACTGTGTAAATTGATGGATATGTTAATGAGGTTCATTGCAGTGATCATCTTGTAATGTACAACTTTATCAAATTATATACCTTAAATATATACAGATTTTTCTATTATACCTCAATAAAGCTAAGGAAGAAATGATGAAACAAAGAAAATCTTAGTAATGTGGGGAAATCTAAGTGGCCAAACTGGAAATAGGGTGCAAAATGAAGAATCACATAGTACTCGGCATTCAGTACTGACATGAAAGAAATCACAAAAGAAATGAGCTCTGTGATAAATCAACAAAACCAGCAAAATTGCTGCGGCTTACATGAAGGAGGAAGTAATTTATCTGCGTTCTGACCCCAGAATGATTAGCAATTGTTACCACTCACCCAAGACAGTACCTTCCTTTCTCACATTATACAGAGTACCAAAGGCCCAATGTTACAGGATCCTACATTATTTCATAAAACAGCAGCTACACATTAGGCTGTTTAGACCCAACCCAGGTAGACTGAGACAAGATGAAAATATTGACCCATTCTTGATTGGATCAGTACTTTGTGCACCCATCTACTTTTTTACTTGCACTTTCAAGCATGTGCTGAGGGCCAAGTATAGAATCACTCGGGGCCTGTAATTAAATCAGGTGGTATCTCTAATAGGAGATTTAGGAAGCATCTGAATTACTCAAAAAAAAAAGAGAAAGAAGGTAGAGGAGGGGGAGGGGAGGAAAGGAGGCACTAAGAGGAGTGAAAGCGAGAGGAGGAGGAAGATGGACGGGTTGGAGAAGGGGCAGGAAAAGAGAAGATGACATTGTTACCCAGGGAAAGGGAGGGATTGAGATGTAGGACTCACTCTAGTATTCACAGACTGGAATACCAGCCCAGGAGTCTCAGAAAACCAACTAAAAGAGTAGCTGAAGACCAGACAAGTGAATCCTAAGCAAATATCCATGAAGCAGAAGCCCTAAGATCAGCCATCAAGAAGAAACCCTCCTAAAAAGAAAGAGAACTCAAGAATAAAAATGAATGAATTGTTGATACACAAAACACTTCAATGAATGTCCAGGGAATTAAGATGAATGAAAATAGCCAATGCCAAAGGTTATAGACTGTATGGTGCCATTTGCGTAACATATTTGATAACTGAAAATATTTTAGAAATGGAGATTAGTGGTTTCCATGGGTTAGGGATAGATTGAGAAGGAAAGAGGGAAGGAGGGGGGAAGGCTGGGATGGACATCGTTACAAAAAAGCAATACAGGAGATTTTTATGATTTGGAAACTGTTTAGTATCTTGACGGTGGTGTTGAGTACAGAAACCTACACAGGTTAAACATTTTATAGAACTTTATGCAAACACATACACAAAATGAGTAGTAGTAAAACTGGTGATGCCTGGATAAGATCAGTGGGATGCATCAATGTCAATATCCTGGTTGTGATATTACAATGTAGTTCTGTAAAATGTCACCTTTGGGGGTGAGGTGGGGGGGTGTATGGATTTCTGTTGCTGCTGTAATGAATGTAGTAGTTAAAGCTGATTCATACTACCACAGGTATATATATGAGAAACACTCAAATTTAACCTCTGTAGACACAGTGATGATTTATATTTTGCTCATGATTGTATCCTCATCATCTGATAATATTCAGTGCTCTTTGATTCTTACTGAAGGCAGGAAGAGAGGTAAACACAGAAAACTTAAGTGTACTCACAAAAATTAGAAAGAATACCAGCCACAGCCTGTACACCTAACTGTTCTCATACCAGCCTATGTTTTGGAAGGGCTCTTTGGGTCCAGCAACTATCATGAAAGGGTATTGTTCATGCAGCTGATATTTAGTTTCCAAACACTAGAGGTCCAGGGTACACAGTTAGTCCCAAATTCCTCTAGAGATTGGAAAGGATTGGGCAAGTCCCAAAGCTCCCATCATCAACTACATTGTTAGAGTACCCAGTGGCCCAAGTCTCCACACAAGCACTATGATAGAGGCTCAGTTAGTCAACCAAAAATTGAACTCAGTGATTAGCAAGATGGCTAACTTTATAGAAAATATCAGTCTACACCAGGATTAAAGAAAATGCAGCATCTCACAAAAAAGGTGCAGTCACAAGAATGACATGGACAAGAGAACACCCACAGAGTAGAAAGATGACGAACCTAACATCCTTTATGGGTATTGATGAACCATACAAAATATAGCTGGTTTTCTATCCATTAGCAATTCTCTTATTCCCTACTAAAACAACTCCTATTTTGTAAGGAAGGTGATGAAGCCAGGAAGAGACATTTTACTTCTTAGCTTCCATTGTAGCCAGGGTGACACGTATCTTAGTTTTTATTCCTAGGATATGGCCTTGGGTGAAGGCACCGTATGTGGGAACTGCTGTGGTGAAGAATCAAACTTACCTAAAGGGGAGTCTGCCCCTTGCCTTCACCTACTGGGAGGTGATCTCTAAAGAGCCCTTCCAAATAGGAGTCTCTTTGTTACCTGGAGGCCTGGGGCCCTGGACAGTCTAATGATGTAATATATGTGACCTGGAGGCCTGGGGCCCTGGACAGTCTAATGATGTAATATATGACAGCAGATCTGGGTCATGCCCTATCAGTTCCAACCTCAAGAGGAACTTGCCACTAACAATATACCCTGAACCTCCTGGAGAGAATGAGAATCGCAGATCAGCCAGATGAGCAATCTGTCCTACAGCCCTAAATGGAACTGTGGACACCACAGGCTCAGCTGAGCCCCCCTGCTTGGCAATACTCCAGGAGTATTGCCACGTGGGGGGTTTTACACAGAATCTACCCAACATGCATCAGTGAGGATGATGGAAGCCTCCTGATTGAAATACTCATAGGTTCTCCCAGTGCATTTCTTCCTTTGCCTGCTTCTAATTTGTATCTTTTTGTTATAATAAAAATAAAATGCCATGGTAAAGTTTCTGGTGAGAACCCTCTTGTGGGTTGCAGACTGCCCACATCTCCTTGCATCCTCACATGGTGAAAAAAGAGATAGAATGCACCTCCTCTCTAAGGGCATGAGTCCCATTCATTAGAGATGCACCCTCATGACTTAACCCCTCCAAACACCCCTCCTAACAACACCACATTGGGACTTAGGATTTCAATAAATGAAGTTTGGGAAACACATACTTTGTGAATTATCAAACCTGAGGATGATTGTGGCGAGACTCCCAAATCTGTAGCCAGCCAAAAATGAGAGTGGCTCTGAGGATCCCTGAAATTTCAACTGATGGTCTGAAGGCACATCAGTCCTGTGAGAAATGTTCTCTCAGATGTGCTGTTTGCTTTCTGGGGCCTCTTTTATAAGAGAATGAGTTTATTAGGACTGCAGCCTCATGACTTAATCCTTCCAGAGGCCCCACCTAACACGACCACATTGGGACTTAGGATACACTGTCAACAGATGAAATATCGGGGACACATACATTCAGTCCATAACACTGACTCATTCTAGTGAATTATCAAACCTGAGGGTGATTGTAGCAAGACCCCCAAATCTGTAGCCAGCTGAAACTAAGGGTGGCTCTGAGTATCCCTGAACTTGTGACTGGTGCTCTGAAGTGGCATGAGTAATAATAGGTGGGAATTA